CGGCCGGGGCTCCCTGCCACGGGGTCTCTGCTCGGCTCCGCAGATCTGCCTGGGGGCTGACGCCGGGGATGAGCTGCACGTGGTGGCCGTTGATTCAAAAAACACCTACGGAGACCGCAAGCCGGTGCCCATCGCAGCGCTGCGGACCTCGGTGCTCCCCATGGTAAGAGCAGCCAAACGCGTGGGGTGCAGCCCCCGGCCATGGGGCGATAGTCTCGCCCCAGGCTGGGGTTGGGGGGCTCTGAGCTCCCACTCTTTGCAGATCAGCCTCAAAGGTCTGGAGCTGGTCCCTCCCGTCACCTTCGTGCTCAAGTGTGGAGATGGGCCGGTCTATCTCAGCGGGCAGCACATCACCCGTGAGTGTCCGGCTGCGGGGCCAGGGTGAGCGTGTGGGCTGTGGGCCGCACTGGGGATGCTCCGTGGGTCCCACGGTGGCTTTCATGGCAGGCGGGGGCCCCCACAGGCATGGCGGCTGGTGCCCTCAACAGGAGTGCTTCCCCCCAGGGATGGAGCGATTGCTGGTCGGGGGGGGAATTAGTGCTTGTTTGCCTTCGCGGGCTTGGCATGGTGGTCCATGCCGGTGCTCTGCTCTGCCTTTACTGCTGCTGTGTGGGATGGTGTCTGTGTCCCACTCCCAGCGTGGGGTGGGATCACCGGCTGTGGGTGCAGCTGGGGGGTTTCACCTCCCCTTGGTGGGTCAGGGTCCCCCCCTCCCACTGCAGCCCTGCATCTCTTCTCTCCAGTGGAAGATGATGCCAAGTCTGAATCCCACGAGGAAGAGCTCTCAGAGGAAGACGATGAGGAGGATGATGGAGCATCATAGCAGCTGCATGATGATGGAGCTGCAGCTCGGAGAGGACTTTGCGGCTCTGGGAGTGGAGCTGGTGCGATGGTGATGGTGGGGATGCCTCGTGCCAGGAGCTGCGAGCGCCTCATGCCAAATGGGAGGGATCCCTGCAGGGACACGCAAACTGTCTGGGATTTGGGTATCACCTCTTGTCTCCACCATTCCTACCATGCCCCCGGAAATCCTCCTCTTCTCTCTTTTATTGCAGTAACAATGGGAAAGTGCAAATACCCCGGAGTTGGTCTGGACTGTGCTCTTGCCTGCTGTCCCATCCCTCCCTGCCTGCTGCCTCCGGCAGCTCCCTTCTCTTGGGAAAACGTATTCCATGCGTGCGATCGCGGTGATGCTGTGGGTCGTGCTGCTAACCCACGGCTCTGTGGGGCCAGAGGTCCCAGCGAGCAGCCCCTGGGGAGCTGCCTGCTGCCAGGACAGGGGGCTCAGGGGCTCTCCCAGCCCCAGCCTGTCTGGAGGAGGAACCGCGCACCGTGCTCTGGCTCGGGGCTTGTGTGTCCATGGAAGCTCAGCCGCCTCCGTGGGGGGAGGACAGGATGCTCTGAGGCTGAGGTGCTCGTGCCCCCCCTCCCTGCGCAGCCCTGGCACCAATTATCCTGCGTAATCCCTTCTAACGGTCCTATTGTTCCGGTAGGAATCGCTCTGACCATCGCCTGCCTGGATCAACAGGATAAAGTTGTGTTGCTGTCTCCATGGCAGCCCAGGAAACGCGGCCAAAAGCCGCCCAGAACAAGCAGCCACTGAAATAATATAATTAAAACTCCTAATTGAGAAAATTGCCCAAATCCATTATATGCATGATATTAGCTGGCAGCGAGGCTGACTTTAAAGGGGAGCCCTGACTCCGCAGGCGGGGTGGGCTGGGAAAGGGAGCACGCGGGTCTCTCTTTATTTTCCCCACTTATAATACAAAAAGCAGCAGAGATGAGCTGATCGGCGCGCGGAGGGAAGATTGCTGTCATCGCGCCGTAATGGCCTCGGAGAGGCTGGAGATGGACCTGGGTGGAACCAGCTGCCGGCCCTGATGGGCTGCAGCGTGGCAGCACGTCACCCGCCGGCGTGGGCTGTGCCTGGCCCTGGGCTCGGGGACACAAGGGGACAACAGGATGGCAGGGTGATGGCACGCAGCTTTCGCCCCAGGAAGGGGTTTCTTGGGCATCACCTCCCGCAAGGCAAGTGTGCGCCCCAATCCCCTTCCCTGCGCGTGGGTCTGGGATGTGCCCCGGCACGGGGAGCAGAACGCCGCCGCTATGCGCAGCCCCAGGCTCTGGGGGTGAAAGAAGGGGGAGAGCAAAACTACAATGAGCAATGAACTCATCCAGCTTTTCCCTGCCCTCACCTCGCTCCCAGTACGCAAGACTGTGTGTGCTACTTCTGGAGAGAGGATCAGGGCCACAACTATTATATCTTTCGCCAAAACAGGCGCTTCGGGCTTATTTTCCTCACTGGGATCTTGTCTGGGACCTGTCACCACTCGGAGAGGGTCAGTGTGACAGTGCCCGGGGGGGGAGGGCTATCCCTTGCATCCTGCTGCCGCGGCTGCTCGGGTTGGAGGTGTCTTCCCGGGGCCGGAGACCCCCACTGCCCGTCCCGGAGGTGTTCTGCAGGCGCTGGGTGCAGGCAGGGGCACCAGCCGTGGAGGAGCTGGAATAAAAGCTGATGAATTCATTGCTTCTAATTCCTCGGGTGGGAATGAAACGCGCTGTTAATTGGGAAGCTTGCTGAACGCCGGCTGCTCGGCGTGATCCAGCAGCTGCATTAAGACGTTGCGCTGGGCGCAGATTAAGCCCTATAAAGAAATCCAGGAAGAAAAGAAACACAAAGCGGATTAAGGTCAGTGCCGGTGAATTTGCAGAGTGGCCTCTTCATCTCCCCGTGCGTGGCAGGGGAGCGCCCGGCAGCGAAGTGCACAAGCACTGCAGAATTGTCAGTGTCTTCCTGAGGACTAACTCCCCGGTGGGTGCACGGGGACAGAGCTGTCACCCCCCACCAGCCACAAGTCCCTTCCTGGAGCTCTGTCTGCCAGACAGCATGCCCAGCCCCTGCTGAAAATGCAGCGTTAGACCCGGAGAGCCACATCGCATGGCCGGAGCCGGGGTGGTCCCGCAGCGGGAAGGGTGGGTGCTTTAGGGGAGATGCTCTGTCCCCCTTTCCCGCAGCCCCTGGCAGCGGTGCGCTTCCCCTCCCTGGTCCTGCATCCTGCACAGCAGCATCTCTTGGAGGGCTTTGACATAACCATGGCAACTGCCAGGTAATTAACAGACGAATCTCAATGTCATGGAGACAAAATGCACAAACAGAGCCCGCCGGGCTGCACGCCTGCCCAGCTGGGCACGCAGGGCACCAGGATGCGGCCACTGGGCACACTGCGGGTGGCCTGAAGACTTTCTTTGGGGAAAAACTGAGAAAAGTTTTGGCAGCGGAAGAGGCGTGCGAGAGTGACTTTTTGATGCAGAAAGTGCTCCCGTTAGGCTAAAAGCTACTTCAGATATTTGTTCCCTGGGAGTTTGTGGCTTTGCCCAGGGTGATGGGCACGACGGCGCTGGGCTCAGCCATGGGCCGGTTGCAGCTCGCAGCGTCGCAGCCTGGCCGGGCTGGGAGCCGTTTTGGGGTGGCTTTGCTGGGTACCCGGTGCTGGGCAGTTCCAGCTGTGTGCACATCCTGCAGATGTTCACAGTCACACCGCAAAGCCCAGGGGAGCTGTACGAGACCCCCCCCTCGCCCCAAGGAGCCGGGGCTCACCCCAGGCTCTGCTCGTGCCTTCCCCCGCTCAGGACCGGCCCCGCACCCTCACCGGGCACAAGCGGCAACGTCTCCTGCCCTGTTGCACCGGCACCCGGTTCATAAATGCAGCAGTGCCCATTTAGTTTGTGCGTAAGTGGCCAATTATTTGATGCATGAGCGCCCCATCGGTTCGCCCGTCCGTGCTCAGCTAATTGCGGGAGGGGTTAAATAGTGCAAACCTGAGCACCCGCTGCGTGCGGGCGTGAGCACCCCGTCGGTGCTGTGCCCGGCTGGCGGGGATGCGCGCCCGACCAGCTCCGGGGGACCCCCCCCCCCCCCCGCC